ATATTTTTTCAAAGATTACATCACATATTTTTCTGAGATAAGTATTTCACACTGTAAAAATAACATGCAATTAACAAAATGAGTTCTTGTTCAGACAATATTTTATTAAATATTTTTATTTTGAACAGTCTAATATGTTGTTAATTAACCAGCTTTCTTTATGTGTATATGTGTGATTGATATACAGAAATATTTCATTCACTTGGTACAACATGCACTGTCCTAGATGCTAAGGATGTAAGGATTAGCAAAGGGTAAACATTTCTAATTTCATTGAGTTTATATTCTATTGGGGGAGCTAGAAAATTAACAAGATTAAATGAACTCAATATGGGTATGCTTGAATGGGTATACATATGTGTAATTATGTACTTAGGTGTCCTATCTATCCTTGTACACATGTGCAAGTGGTATGTATGACAGTGCGCACGAACCTGCAAAATGTAGACAGATTTATAAAGCAGAGGAGGAAGGCAGTGAGAGATGGACAGTAGGGGACAGCTGACAGGTCTACTAGGTAATGTCTCATTGAAAATAGAGAATGATAGAAATGAAGGGATAAACTAGGTGAGTATCTGTGAGAATATTCTAATTTTTTATTAGTTTATTTTTATGTTATATGTATGAGTGTTTTGTCTACATGTATTTAAGTGCACCCATGTGTTCAATGCTCATGTAGGCCAGAAGAGTGCATCAGCTCCCCTGGAACTGGAGTTTCAGGCACTGGTTAGTTGCCATGTGGATGCTTGGAACCAAATTCAGGACCCTGTAAGAGCAGCCAGTGCTCTTAACCCCTAAGACACCTCTCCAGTCCTGTAGAATATTTAAACAACAGAAAATAACGTGCAAAGTCTGAAATAGGAAAAAGAAAGGATAAAAATATTCTGAAGGTTGAATATCCCTAACTTTACCCAGGAACTGAGAAACTTACTTTTTGTATTTGGCAGTTTATCCATTCTGGAAGAGCGTCTAGATTCATGTGCCACACATGACAAGTATTTTGAGCATCGACTGATTCATGTCTATCCTGTTATATAAAAATGAGCATTAGTAATTATCACTTCATAAATTATTTCACATGCTCCATAGTTAGGAAAACTCAAAAATTACAAATTCAATTTTCACTAGAAACCAAATATATACTGTTCTCTTTTCCTTGTTCTCATCATCAAAAACAGACTCATAAGGACAAAAAAAATTATCAGGAAAATATTCAAAATTTGCTAGTAAACCACCAAATAGACATATCTAGTACCTTATTTTTTCTTCTTGGTATGAGTACTACTTAGTACTGTCTGTGGTAACTGTCCCTAACCTTCAATCTCTGGTATTATCTGGATTCTGATATCAACAAAATAAAGAGATTTCTATATCCTCTATCAGGATGCTCAGCATGTAGAAGGAGGGGAGGAGAAAAGATGCAGTCCAACATGTCACTGGTGTATACTGAAAAACACTGGGAAAGATTTTCTGACTTTCTCTAATGTACATCATAAGACTCCATGTGACAGATGCTCTCTTCCTGCCGAAAAGGAGCATCCTGATCCATAAACACAGAGGGTCACACAGAGGAATTTCAATGGACAGGTTCCCCAGGCTGGCATCATAAAATCACATTCCCTATTCAAGACCAATACAAAGGTAAATTGATTGGCCTCTGGTTAACTGAAGGTGATTTGTAGAATGTGATATATAATTGAGAAATAATGGCTTTTCATCATGCCAACAAGATGTTGGACAGACCAGACCAGAGTAAAGATGTGCGTCTGGACCCAGTATGTGACTTTAGACCAGTAATTTATCTTTCTGGGTCTCAGTTTCTTCACCAGTAAATCACTGCTAGAAGTGTAAAGGGATGTCTAAAACACATTATGAACAACATGAAGGGGTTTCCTGAGAGGAACAGGGACAGAATAAGGCTCCCCAACACATGCTACTTTTCAGGGTCAGATTTACACTGAATAGTCTTACAATTACTAAAGTACATTGCTTTCTCTCAGATTTTCCAAACAGTCTACAGTCAGTCAGATTAACACAACAACACAAGGAAATGTCTACCTGTCTATGAAGTCTCTAATCATGGTTGGTGATAAGAGAAAGGCCCTCTTCACGGAATAATCTATTTTAGGTTGTGACTTAGAAGCATGACCACCCAGAATTTCTAGCTCTTCTTTCCCAAAGTGATTCCTTGTGGGCCTTACAACTACTTTTCTCTCCCGGTACTAGATCTTAATCCAGGTGTAGACAAAACACTGTGATGTGATTTATTTATGCATTGGTAAGATCTGTAAAGAATACATCTTAATCTAATTTTGTTCAGGCCCCAAACAAAACAATTACTTCACAATGTAAAATTGAAAGGGAAAAGGGACAAGAGTTACTGTTCCATGTTAGGCCACATTTCATTATTTTTAATGCTGTACACAACTGTATATGGATAATAATCAGTGCTAATCCCTGATCAATGGGTACTAAGTTACAACTAGTAAAACCAATAAGTTCTGCTGTGTTTCTGCATGGCACAGTGAGAACAGATGACAGTAAATTTCTGTTCAAAAAACAAAGAATTTTGAAAGTTTTTAATCATAAGAAAAATAAAGGCTTGAGGATATATGGTTAATCTTATTTAAACAATATACAATATAGTCATGTGCTAAAGCATTCTATTTTTCCATTAATATGTAAAATTTTTATACTCTCTGTATTAAAGCATTAATTTAATAAAGAAAAATATTTTGAACTTTTTTCCATTCTAATATCTTTAAAATCCTATAAAATAGGCTAAAAATATCTCAATGTTAAATAGAAACTCTTTACAGCTGACTAAAGAAAGTATCCAAGATACATGACCTCCTACTCAGCTTAGCAGTATAAAACCTACCCACCTCCCTATGTCAGTGTTGTTATGGAAACAACAAATGCAATTTAAGAGGCAACTCCCGGTCTAGAGAATAGAATTTCTGGTCTGGGTGGAAACCCAATATTCCAGTTGGGCCAAGTCAATCACCTGGCCAAGTGACCAACTCTAGGAAGGTGGATTCACCTTAAGACTTTTCTAGCCAGAATCCCCACCCCATAGCATAGTAGTCTACTAAGACACCGCCATATAGTTCCATAACTCTGTCTGCTTTCTGAAGAATTCAGAAAAGCTAATTTCTTTTTTTCTTCTTTCTCTTTTCTAAGCATGCTTTCCCTAACACTTTGGGGCTTCTTCAACATGTTAGGTTTCCTTATACTTTCTCTAAAACTTCCCTCTCTACCACCAGATGACAGCTAGCCTACCATGTGTCTGACCTCCATGCCAGTTTAAAGGCATGGCTTTTCTCCTCTCTCCTGTTCCCCTCCTAGCAGCTGAGGAGATTTAACAGCTTGCTGTCCTGAGGATTTTTCTTTTAAAAGCTAATCAAGTTATCTTTAAGCTTCAGTTCAAGTCTATTCTTAAACTCTTTTACTAATGAGACTAAGAATCCCAAGAGGGAACCGTTATTTCCCCTGCATCAATGCTGACACCACTGAAAGAGGGCCAGTCAAGCACATGAAAATAACATGAGGACATGAATGGACGAAAAGTTAGGAAAAGGAGGCAATACTGGGAACAGTTTCTGGCTCTCACTTCTGGCTCCCTAACATGTCTCCTCTCAAGAACGCCATGAAAATGTAGAAATGTTTATTATATTCCTCTTCCTGATACAATGATGTAGGGGAAATACAGGCAGAGAAGGCAGTAATTGCTGGTTTCAACAGGATATAGTTGGTACTTCCTCCAATCTATCCTTCTACTGTGCCACACTATGTACTCCATATATATATAAAATCAATAGCTAAAGTAGAAAATCTAGACAAGGAACTTTCAATGTTGGGAACTTCTGAGAGATTAATGAGGGAGCAAACAGCTTACTATATTCAAGTACAAAATTTATGACAGTAAAGAATGAACCTTATGGCAGCAGTGGAAACTAGAATAAAGAAAGGTCCTATGGAAACTTAGTAGGGCTTCAGTGGAAATCTTCCTCTCTCCAGGCAAGAACAGCTTCAAGAACAGTTCAAAAAGAAATAGGGAAATGTGCTATGATGGTGGGAAAAGTCTGGAAGGGGAACATTTTGCAGGAAGTCCAGTGATTGGGACTAAACTCTGTTCTCACTTGGAATTAAACCCCAATAAATAATGAAAATGATGTGGGTTTGTTTATATTTGAAAGAAACATATCCAATAATGTTTGGTAAAAAGTGAAAGAAATAGAGACAGAATGCCACTTATCTGCTAATGGTGATAGTGAGATGAATATACATACATTGGTTAAATTAGCTGAAATGTATATTTTACTATATAAATTATGCCATAGTAAAAACTGATCAAAAACCAAAAAAAAATCTTCAAAGAAAAATGATTATGAAACATTTGCAAGCTTTGTGTGGTGGCACATGCCTCCAATCCCAAAACTCAGGAAATAAAGTGGGAGGATTATGAGTCTGAGGCCAGCCTAGGCTCCCCAAGCAAGACCTTTTCTTTAGTAAATTAATTGCTTGATTAAAATAAATTTTGTCCTCTAGCCCCACCATTAGCAAAAATTAAAGCCAGAACTTCATAATGTAATACCAAGCAAGATGCACAGAGGAAAGTCACATAGTGAAGTTTGACTTATGAGTTGTTTATTAATAGCTGGCAGTCAGAGAGGAGGCTAATGCCCAAAAGAACTCTCGACCCAAAGAGAAGCAGGACAGGGTCTACAAAGTTTACAAGCACAACTAGATCATGCCATAGTTACATCAGAGCACCAGAGGCAGGTCAGTTAACAGGTTTTCTGTTAACCATAAGTTTCAATTAGACTGAGTGGGAGGACATGCTACCTGAAGTGCTACCTGGCTACTTGTAAATTTTCCAGTATTGTAGAAACAATGTACTCCCTGAAACTGTCTGCATGAGATGTTCTGCCTGGTTGTCTGCAGTGGGAATGGCTTGGCAAACACACAGAGTAAAGCAACTAGAACAAAATGGAGCTAGTTTTGCTGTTTCAAAGAAATTCTGACAGCAAAGGGTATCTTCTTTTTGTACATATGCCTTGGAGAATCAGAATGTAATATGTATTATCCAGATTAAAATATGTAATGAAGAGACAAAAAAGCTAATCAGTTTTTTAATAGTTGCATAAATTAGGCTTTGTTTGGGATTCTGTCAAAACAACATTTTAGGTCAAGCCTCTAAATGAGCTTAGCAATTGACCTGGTGAACTGGGCAGCAGTATGTCCTCTGATTCAGGTTGATACATGGATAAAAATAAGATAGGCTAATATATATCCTTTCAAAAATATACCATTTAATGGCCTAACCTAAACTATCCTTCTAAAAGTTTCAGATTTTTTCTTTTTGTTTTGAGAGAGGCTCTCCCTGTAGCCAAGCTGTACTGGAACTTGCTAGGTAGACCAGGATGATACGGCTCTCACAGAGATTCTCCTGCCTCTTTCTCCCCAGTGCTGGGATTAAAGGCGTGAGGCACCATGCCAAACTAAAAGTTGTTTTAATCTGACAAAATATCAAGCCAAGTTTTCAGCAGAAGAAAGGGGAATACTTAGGATCTAGATACTGGACTTCTTAACTTCCAGAAATACATGAGGTAAATTGTCTTTTCTTATTAAGATAGTCTCTGATGTCTGCTGTGTTACACACAACAGTCTAAGATTGAGAGTTAGCATGGGAAAGGTGGGGTGTGGCTGTAACAAGTACACAAACTGGGCCTTGGAACTAGATAATAGGTAGAGGTTGGAATAGTTTTGAGGGACATGCTTGGAAAAGTCTAGATGGCTAAGAATGAACCTGCCACGGCAGCTCCAGTGAAGGCTCAGAAGAAACAGAGAGCTGTAGATGTCTTAGAGATTAAGTGGTAGTCATCCTACTGTGGTAGAAATATGGGCAGTAAACTCCATTCTGATGAAGTCCCCAGCAAAAATGAGGAACAAGGTATGGGAAACTGAGAGGTACCCAAAGGACCTCAGTTCATGCTGTCCTCAAACCTCTGCTCCCTAAGTTCT